CAATAACACTGTCCTCACCGATGTTCGGCCGATGGGCGTCATTTTTCGGCTGACACTCGTTCCAAAACACTATTCCGCACTCAAGCCTAATCGTCGCGCCGCGGTCATCGCGCGCCGTGCCGCGGTCACATTTTTTCGATTCGCAAATATGGAATCGTGCTACGCAAATTCACTGTACGCGCGTTTTACTCGAACCACTTACGGCCGGACGCGAATGAAATTTCGTACAAAACTTCGAAACGACGACTCCGAAACGCGAACGTCGATGTCGTACAGCAGCGGTGCTCCATGTGAACTTAGGCGCGTATCGCGTAAAAATTTCACAAAAGTCACGTGACTGTACTGTTATATTTCGATCGCGCGCCGATGGTAGCTATAAAGGTAGGATGAAAGAAGAGAAGGAAATCGCCGCTGTTGTCAGCCCGGTAGCGCGTGCTACCTGTTTTGAAAGAAGTGTGCGCCCGCCACACTAGTCCATGCCGCACTGCTACACCGCAGTCAGGTGTTTGAGCGCACGCGATCGAACCGCGACATCTCCCGAGAGTTCGCCGAAACGACCGCACGCGCGAAACCGCGCTCAACTATCACGCGAGCCGCGCATTGCCGCGCACCTACAACACTTTCTACCTCTCTCGCCACGTGATCTCGGCGACTTGCCGGCGATTTCATTCATGGAGACACACTCTTTTCACTTTATCCCGTAGCTCGTACTCGCTCGAACGTGCACAATCGTTTCAATTATCACTGTGCATTGCACGTACAGATTATATTATTGCTCTTTGTAACAATAAAACGCGAATCCGGTATAATTAAACAAGGAAATGAAAGATGCAATCGTTATATTTAAACACTTGTTATTTAAACACGATAAAAAATAAATTAGCGCAATTTTTAATAATTCATTATATTCTTGTAAATGTACAAAATGTCCCAGATTAATTATATTACTGTTAATAGCAGATTCCTAAAATCACGGGGGGACGCCTACCTAGAAACTTTGAAAAAATCGATTTTTGGGTTTTGATATTTTCTTGAAGTACAACATTTTAAAAATATTTCCTAAAAATTTTAAGTCAATCCGAATCAAATTGACAAAGTTATAAGCGTCTAAATGTTACTCGGAAGGAGCGTTCGAGCGTTCGAGCGTTCGAGCGTTCGAGCGTTCGAGCAGGTATTCAAACAATCGCGAAACAGGAATCTATGGGTCGTTGAAACCTATACAACGTAACCCAATCTAATCTCCTTTGTGAGACGTTTTGTGCGAAGGTTCCTGTATACCTGTATTAGTAAATATAACGGTCCGAGGCTAACGTACATAAAATTTAGAGAGGGTCAGTTAGTTTTGAGCTGTACAGCAGAACAGTTGTTTCATTTCGCTCGTGAATAATAAATTGCCATGGGACGTAAAGGCTCAAGAGAGTTAAAACATTCAAAATGTTCGATTATCAAGAAGTAAAAAACGACAGCAGCCTAAAGTGACTCATGAGTTGGAGACTGACATTGA